CGAGAGATTTGGGAAATCCGGACGAGGTTTCAAGGATAATCGTAATATTATTTTGCGGGGAAGCAAATGTAAATTGTTGACTCAGTTGTTTTGAGCAAATGCAAATTTTTAAAGCTGTTGAATGACAGTAAAGTATTTAGTAAGTATTAAACCTGGTCTAAAATTGAGATTATATTATTAAACTTGTAATCGTTTGTCTCATTTAAAACAAAGCAAGCGCACGAATGGTACGTATTCTCTTTGTTCATCCTGATCTGGGGATTGGTGGCGCAGAGCGGCTAGTTGTGGACGCAGCGCTCGCGTTGAAAGCACGAGGACATGAAGTCAGTTTCTTGACTAATCATCATGACCCAACGCACTGCTTTAAAGAAACTTCTGATGGCACTTTGCAGGTGCAAGTCGTTGGCGATTGGTTGCCACGTAAGATTTTTGGCCGATTCTATGCACTATGTGCCTACTTACGCATGATGTATGCTGCCCTATATGCTTCTTTCGTGCTGTCGCACCGTGAAAATATTGATGTTTTCTTCTGTGATCAAATCTCTGTTGGCGTGCCCATATTGAAACTTGCCAAAAGACGACCAAAAATAATTTTCTACTGCCACTTTCCTGACCAGTTATTGAGCATTCGAGAAGGCTACCTTAAAAGTGTTTACCGGGCGCCATTAAATTATCTTGAAGAATTTACTGTGGGCATGGCGGATGTGACGTTGGTTAATTCCAAATTCACCTTACGAGTTTTCGGTGACACATTCCAACGTTTAGATGTGGTACCCGACGTATTATATCCATCTCTAAATACTCAATACTTCGATGCAATGCAAAATAAGATCGCAGCTATGCCAAGCATGGAATTCGGAGTGAAAGCATGTGAAGAAATACCGCGTAATGCATTCATCTTTCTGGATATTAATCGATATGAACGAAAGAAGAATCATGCTTTAGCTTTGCATTCCTTTCGTTTGTTGATTGACGCCTTGTCAGCTTCGGATTCGAAGCGTTGTCGCTTGATCATCGCTGGTGGATACGATGATCGTGTAGTAGAAAATGTGGAGCACTACAATGAGCTTCGTCAGATAGTCAGCAAGTTGGAACTCCAAGAAAATGTGATATTGCTGCGCTCTCCTAACGATGATGAGAAATTTATGTTGCTTCATAAAGCACACTGTCTGCTTTACAC